ACAATTAAATACATAACTTGCAAGCTAGAGAAAACAAGGAGGCAACCATTGACTTACACTTGTGAAATGGAAAAAGAAGCTGATCCATAATCTATGTACTGATAAAATTCCTCTGCAGCTGTGTCAGTCTCATACATCAGTAGTCTTTTCTGATCCTTCCTTTAACAAACGTCCGACGAATCTCCCGTTGTAAGCGTGTAGATTGCTGAAGCACTTGTCAGAAAAATGACAGGAATAGCACAGGTTGGGCTATAATGCTGAGGTATTTTCGCAAAAACTGACAGACTAGGTCTGTGCAATAAGGACAAAATAATTAGATTGCGATTTTAATTTTTATTTATTTATTTTATTATTATTTTTATTATTATTTTTTTTAAACAAATATTGCGATTGCGATTTAATATGCGATTTTGACAACTGTTTTTGCTTTTTCAATCAAGCTACATACATCCATTGTAAATGTATTCAGTGCACAAAAAGTGCATAATTAAACATTTCACAATGAAATAACATGGTAAGTTTATTAAACAAAACTGTAGTACAATTGTCTTTAAAACCGACAACATAAAATAAATGTGGTGATAGACACTTGTTGCTCTTCACAAAGTCCCCATGATGCTAGTCAATATTTATCAATAGTTTTAAACACTGCCCATTTTCAGATTTTAGCCTTAGCTGGATATTTCACTTAGAGCTGTGTTACACACCACATGGAAGGTCATTTTCAAAAACCCATAATAGGGGCTCTTTAATGTAGCAAATTGTTCCTTTTCCAATTTATTACACAGCGGCCACTTTATTAGGTACACTGCTCATCTGCTTGTTAATGCATATACCTAATCAGTAACGTAAGTTTTGGGCCGACAACCAGCCAGACTAATCCAACCTGGCTAAGATCAGAGGGCATTGCACAAAAGTAAGATGAGGGATTGATCTGGGATTTTGAGGCTAGTTGCATGAAAGCAGGCTAAATTAAGTTATTATGGAGATTTATTCTTTGCAGCTAGTATGCTCCAGAGCAGGCTAAGATTAATCCTCGTGGTTATATGTTAGTTTCATTGTCAATGTTACTAGAAATTAATGTGTTTTACCGTCACTCCATACTTTTGTGTATTTACATTTGTTTTCCAACAATTAGATTAAAAAGTAAGTATGTTTAATTTTTTCATGGCCTCCTAACCATATCATATCTGCCTTCATCACTATTTCTCCTCTCCACCAACCAGCAGGTGTGTGGTGTGCGGTCTGGCGCAATATGGCTGCCATCGTGTCATCCAGGTGGATGCTGCACACTGGTGGTGGATGAGGAGATTCCCCCTAATGTGTAAAGCGCTTTGAGTGCCCTGAAAAACGCTATATAAATGTAATGCCTCATTCACACGGGGCTTCCGCGTCAACGCTTGACAGAAGGTGTGTCTGAAGTTTGGGCTGTTGGATCGTCATAGCAGCGTTAGCCAATTAAATTAGTCAGCAATAGGCCATAGTCTGAGCTGGTGTATTTGCATACAGCGATCTGATTGGCTGACACTTCCATCGCCGCTTGAAAAGTCAAGCAAGTCCCAACTTTTGCAGCGAACAATGCCTCTTAAGCGGCGCCGACGGATCCACAATGCAGTTCAGCAACGCCCGACATCACTTGTGAATGTATGTGAAAGTGAATGGGAAGCGTTGACGCTGACGCCCTGTGTAAATAGGCTATAAGGAATTATTAACTCGATGCATGTAGACATGGTCTAGACCAGTGGTTCTCAAACTAGTGGTACACAGGCTTCCTTCTAGTGGTACGCGGAGGAATAAAAAAATATGTCATGTACATGCTACACACATTTCAGAATTTACCATATATAATGTATATAATATGCCATATATGACATAGCTTATATTTCTGAGGAAATCTGCCACGTTTTTTGCAACTGTGCAGAGTTGTAGCTACTTTACTGAGCTTACTTCGCTACTGTATTTCAATACTGCTCATTTTGGTGGTACTTGGAGAGACAAATTTTTTCTGAGGTGGTAGTTGATGAAAAAAGTATGAGAACCGCTGGTCTAGACGATCTGCTGCAGTTCAAATCGAGCATCAGAATGGGGAAGAAAGGTGATTTTAGTGACTGAATGTGGCATGGTTGTAGGTGTCAGACTGGCTGGTCTAAGTGTTTCAGAAACTGCTGATCTACTGGTATTTTCACGCACAACCATCTCTTGGGTTTACAGCGAGTGGTCAGAAAAAGAGAAAATATCCAGTGAGCGGCAGTTTTTTGGGCGCAAAGGAGAATGGCCAGACTGGTTCCAGCTGATAGAAAGGCAACAATAACTCAAATAATCACTCATTACAACCGAGGTATGCAGAAGAACATCTTTGAACAAACAACACATTGAACCTAGAGATGGATGGGTTACAGCAGCAGAAGACCACTCTGGGTCAGCCAAGAACTGGAAACTGAGGTTAAATTTCGCACAGGCTTACCAAAATTGGACTATAAATGATTCTACTGCTACACTCAGATGGTAGGGTCAGAATTTGGTGTCAACTACATTAAAGCGTAGATCCATCCTGCCTTGTATCAATAATTCAGACTGGTGGTGGTGTAATTGTGTGTGCAGGTCTTAATTTGTGTCGAAACATGCAGGATCCGGATCCGGCACCTCAAAGGGATTCCCCCTTCCTCAACCGCCCTCCTCCCTCTCTGCTGTTCACTTTCACTTTCTTTCGCGACTCCTCAACCTTCTTCACTTTTGTCAGCAACACCCCCACTAAGCTCACTTTCGTCCGCAACACCCCTCCGCCATCCACCGCACCAACCTCCAACCACACCTCGCCCCCTGCTCTTCACTTTTATGCGCGACACCTCTTCATCCTCGCGTAACTAGCTGGATCCGTTACCCTAATCTGTTCTGGGACCTCGCAATTCAAAAATTAAGTACTGGTGTGGGGGATATTACCTTGGCACGCTTTGTGCCCATTAGTACCAATTGAGCATCGTTTTAACACCACAACCTACCCAAGTATTGTTGCTGACCATGTCCATCCCTTTATAACCATCTTCTGATGGCTACTTCCAGCAAGATTGCACACCATGTCATAAATGTGAATCATCTCAAACCAGTTTCTTGAACATAACAATTAGTTCACTGTACTCAAATGCCCTCCGAAGTCACCGGAACACAATCCAGTAAAGCACCTTTTTAGTATGTGGTGGAACAGGAGATTCGCATCGTGGGTGTGCAGCTGACAAATCTGCAGCATGATGCTGTCATGTCAATATGGACAAAATCTCTGAGGAATATTTCCAGTACTTTGTTGAATCTATGCCACAAAGGATTTAGGCAGTTCTGAAGGCAAAAGTGGGTCCTTCCCAGTACTAGTAAGGTGTACCTAATAAAGTGAGTGTAAGTTAGCATGTAAATTAGTAAATATTCAGTTAGCCAGAGGTCTGTGTGCAAAAATTGTTTAATGCTTTAAACTCTCTGTGAATATTTACTTTAATGGACCTTAAAAACAATTGTGTTGTATGGTTAAACTTAGCAACTAATACACAAGTGAAATGCGTTTTGAACTCTAGTGCCTGTGTGTGTATGTTTAGTGCAATGTGACTTCATGTCAACACAAAAATGCAATGAAAATGTATTGAGCTAACAATGAGAGTTTGAGTGAAACATGGTGACCAAATGTCCATCCAACAGAGTTATCTTTGTTATTTAGGGGAATGAGAGATTTGTATATTCTTAATCATATCAGTATTGACCAAAATCTTTTTATTCTGTGTATCTAGTTAAATCTGTCAGTTAAGAAGGCAAAAATGGTTTCCAACTCAGTCATTTTGTCCATTGGGAATTTCATGGTGGCTTGAACAATACATGATTCAGCATGATCTAAAACTGTAGGAGTGCAAGTACAGGAAGTGCAGTATTGGAAGTTTGTTTGGGATGATAAACTATTATTAGCACAGCTTTGCTTCCTGCTTGATGTTTAATGATAAACAATAATTTGTATGGAAAACTTGTTGCATGCATTTTTTAATTCTTGCTTTTTTTTGGTTTTGCTCTAAAGGCATGGATTCATGCTGGCATCCTCCTGAAACACAAGTATAGTCTTCTAGTAGGCTCTGCCTCCATATCTGATGTTGTTGCACAGGTAAATACTAACATGTTCACTGTCAATCATGTTTTACATTCCTTTTTTTCACAAATTAAATGAAAAGTGTTTTGCTAACCTTTTAAAATAACCGATTTAGGGATGATATTCAAAAGTAAGATACACAACTTTGTTTTCCCCTTGCTGATTTCTTATTTTTTGCATGCTTGTCTCATTTTAATCTGTCAGATCATCAAACTAATTTAAATATTAGTCCAAGATAACGCAAGTAAACGCATCATGCAGTTGAAATGAAGGTTTTATTATTAAGAGAAAACAAAATGCAAAACTACATAGCCCTAGGGGAAAATGTTGGGCCACTTTTAGTAGCAACAACTGCAGTCAAGCACTTTCAATAACTTGCCAGGAGTCTCCTAAGTTTGGTTAATACTCGAAGCATCCGCTAGTTCGTTTGATGTTAACTTTGGTTGCACGCGAAATGATTTCGGCAGACACAGCGCATAATTTTTTTTTTGATACTCTAGTGAACAGTTCCTGCAGCGCCGTGTTTGATTTAAGTTGAATATGAATCACTTTGAAGATATTTTGTCTGAAACGGGTAAGAATATACAGACATCTTTATGATCTGTGGTCATAGAAATAACCAGATGATCAATAATTCTTGACTAGAACTTGCAGCAGCCGGGGGAAAGGAGGAAAGTTTTTGTTAAAAACTTTGGAAAAACCTAATGGATGAGTTTGTTAAGGCCAAAAGAGGCCATGGCAAAAGTAGAGACCCAGTTACACAATTACAGAATATGTTTTCCACCAGTCATATGTTTTACAGTAATGTCTATATTACAATTTTGAATTTAAAACGATTTAATAGTTACAAAACTATAATTAAGAAACAAATTATTTACTTGATAGCTGGAAAGGAATATTTGAACCTATCAATCTACAGTATACTGATTCCCAGTTTTTCTAGGCTTTATTGGTGATAATGGTCAGGATCATTGGACCATTATAGCCTTTTTAGCTTAAGTAGAGAACAGAAACTAGCCAGACAGTAATGTGTAAATTGTGGAGCGGGCTAATTCTAAAAAATAAGTTTTTTTAAAGTTATTTATTTTTATTAATTTTTTTTAGTAAGTGTGCTTTTTTGATGCGTTTTATTCTTTCCATAATAAAAATATATATTTGTAGAGTAACTCATGTTCAGTTGTCGTTAATATTTTAATAAACTTTAATAGGTAGAACTGTTCGAGATAAGAACATAGGTAAGGTATGCATAAAAATAAAAATAAAAATCTTAAATGGTTATAAAAATCCATATCATTAAAATAATTTATAAAAATAATTAGTTAAAAAATACTGAATGATATTAATGATATGACGTAGTTCCAGAAACTTGCTACTTCTCTTTTTATCCGCTTGACTTTACGGTCATTTTCTTTTGAGAATATCACAACAAATGCAGCAAGTATAACGTGCAGTCCGCAGAGGTGCACGATTCGGTGCAAGACGAAAGTATAAATCCAGCTTTACAGCTGAAGAATTTTGGCCCACTCTTCTTGATGTAGTTCAGCAATATAGGAGTTTTTGAGCTTGAATGTCTTTTTAAGGTCATGCCACATCTCAATTGGATGCAGGTCAGGACGTTGACTAGGCCACTATAAAGTCTTCATTTTGTTTTTTTGCCTTCAGAAGTGGATTTCCTTCATTTAAACACTGCCTGATGTGTTTTCTTCTTGGTTTTTGAGTAAAATATTGAAATTACTTTGATTATCTGAAACATTAACGTGTGACAAAAGTAAAAATAAGAAATCAGTACTGGGGCAAAGACTTTTTCACACCTCTGTTTAAATATAAAGTAAAACAAATTGCAAACAATGCAGTTATTACATGCTCCATTTTATCAGATGCACTGGTGTCTGATCACTGATTGATCAATGTTGACAACTTTTTATAAAGATAATTTGGGAAAAAAGTACTTTATATAGTTTTTTTGTAACATTACATACACAAATGACCTTATAGTCCCGTTATACACCCTTTAATATATCTGTGGTTATATAAAAGTATTAAATTATTAATATTTCTTAACAAAAAAGCATAAAAACAAGTGTAATATATTGTAAAAATATGCGATAACAAAAATGAGTCATCACAGCATATTTTAATATTTAAGCTACATATGGGCATTCTTCCTTTACTTGTAATAAACAGTACAGTATATGCAAATTTTGCTGTTCTAGCTGCTGACGCTTATTCTGAGTACTCATTTTGCATTGCACATTTGCATACAGCAGGTACAGCATATCCCTTCAGTAACCTTTGAATGCAAGTAGTTTTGTGCAGGTTTGTGATGTGTGTAAACATGTACACAATTTCGCTCAATAATAATATTTGATATTGTCGCCCACAGATAGTATTTGTGGCGATCCTCCTCCAGAGTAACCTGGAATGTTTCGAGCCTCTTCTCATCCCCATTCTCGCTCTGTATATGGGAGCCCTTGTGCGATTCACTATTGTAGGACTTGGCTACTACTGCAATGTTCACGACATCACCCCTGAATCCACCAGCACTGATCAAGGGGTACGTCCATCAAACAGATTATGGCAGAAAAGTAATGATTCAAATAAAAATAATTCATATCAAGTGTACTTCTGGTCACTTCCAGGGTGATGCCACCATAAAGAAGATGCTTAGCTTCTGGTGGCCGCTTGCTCTGATTTTGGCTACTCAGCGCATCAGCAGACCCATCGTCAATCTGTTTGTGTCACGGGACCTGAAAGGCAGCTCTGCATCAACTGAAGTGAGTGCTAGGACTTGTTCACTTCATGTATTTTCTCTGATTGGTTGGCTGATTTGTTTGGAAGTCCTAAGAGTCCATGCTTTAAAATATTTGTTCTTTCTTGCTTTCTCTTGATTTCAACATAACAACTCGTTTTGGTGGAATCGCAACTTTTATTTTCTCACCTTGACATAAAGTAGTTATTCATCGTCTTAACACTCATCCTTGTAGTTGTTGTCGTAATAGTTGTCATCGTAGTAGTATGTGTAGTAGTTCTTCTTGTGATCTCGACAAAATTTTTCCACTTTATTCATCTATTATTATTATTTTATTTGTATTATATGTATTTATTTTCTTCTTCGTTGTCTTCTAGCTTGTTGGCTACACTTTTTATACAGTTGAAGTCAGAATTATTAGCCCCCTTTTGATTTGATTTTTTAAAATATTTCCCAAGTTGTTTTTAACAGAGCAAGGACATTTTCACAGTATGTCTGATAATATTTGTTCTTCTGGAGAAAGTCTTATTTGTTTTATTTCGGCTAGAATAAAAGCAGCTATTAATTTTTTAAAAATATTTTTGGGACAAAATTATTAGCCCCTTTAAGCTATTTTTTTTTTTCGATAATCTACAGAACAAACCATCGCTATACAATAACTTGCCTAATTACCCTAACCTGCCTAGTTCACCTTATTAACCTAGTTAGGCCTTTAAACGTCACTTTAAGCTTTATAGAAGTGTCTTGTAAAATATTATTTACTTATTATTTAGATAAAATAAATCCGTTATTAGAACTAAGTTTTTAAAACTATTATGCTTAGAAATGTGCTGAAACAATCTTCCCTCTATTAAACAGAAATTGGTGAAAAAAAAATAAACTGGCGCTAATTATTCAGGCAGGCTAATAATTCTGACTTCAACTGTAAAACATGATACAGAAATGGCAATTGTAACTGTAGCGTAATAGAGCCATAATAGTCTCATATGTAAGGTAATGATCGTGGTTAACGGAGTATGATGAATAGGGAACATGAGTCTTCTGCCTAGAGCAGCAGTTGAGTCTGCACTGGCCCTTTGAACCATGAGAGAAATAATTGCAGATGTGTAACGCATTGAATCATAATATCCTTGATTATATCAAATGAGCGTAAAGATGTGTGTTTATGATTATATACACATTAAAAATCCCTCACTGTTTATACCATTAAGAGTAGGGGTGTTAAAATTAATTGTTTCTTCTGTGCACCGAGATGCAGACGCTGACAATTCGGTAATGGTTCAGTAATAATCATAACCGGTTATTATATATTGATGTCATTTATCTCAAATGCGCTGTGCAGCCGTTGTTCACTATAACGAGGGAGGGGAGCCTCGGTATTTACAACGCTCCAACTACTTTAAAACACAGAAGCTGTGCACAATTTTACTTGTGTGTGTGTGTGTGCGTGTGCGTGTGCGTGTGTGTGTGTGTGGATAGTCTTTCACTGACACTTACAGCAGAAGCCCCTATTTCACTGCGATTGAGAGAATGAAAGTAAACACCATTTCTCTCTCACTCTCACTGTGGTCCATTTGACCTGCTGGCATCTACTTGACCTCCCCTCCTCTCGGCTGTTACAGCAATTCTTCTGGATACAGACACGGGCACGTGCCTGCAGAGTTTGCTCCACCCTGTCTGAATATATCTGAAAATATAATAATAAGTAACTCATAGCCTCTGAGGACTTCCGTAGATTTGTAAAAATTATGTTTAATCACATAATCGTGTCTCAACTAAACTGATATAGACTATTTTTAGGCAAAAAAAAACAACAAAAAAAAACAATGGTCCTAATGTATTTCCTGTTTTACTTTTTTTATTTACTTTAGAGAATTCATAAAGGTTTGCATATTTATAAATGATGATATGATAACTGTGTAATGTTAGATTATGATTACATTTTTTAATTAAATAAAATTAATAAATTAATCTTATTACAGTTATGAAATAGTTTGAAAACAATCAGGAAATGTTCATGGACCAGTGGCATCACCACATTGAAATGGTCTTTATCTTATTTGCCATTGGTTATAAATGCTAAAGAAAACATCTATTTCTATCATGCAGGTACATGCAAGGCATTCAACACTGTATAGGGTTTACATTAATTTGTGAATGACCTACTTAAAATTACGTTTTAATCATACATTTCTAAAAACTGCTGGTAATTTAGTTTCCTCTCCATTGCTTTAATTAGATATTTATTTACATTATAATTTTATCATTCAGTGGATAATGACTGGTCAGAAATAATTAAATTCAAAGAAACAAACAACGCAAAACACCATCTGTGGCATTGCATTAGCACTACTACATCTCACTATACCATATACTGTAGATCAACACACTTGCATGTTTGTTTTTCACATTCATCTGAAATGCATCCTAGATCATCTCGTGAATTGGTTTATGCGATCATATTTAAATGTGTTTCGGGGCGTTTACATCTCTGCTCTTTTCACAATCAGATCAGAACAAACAAAGTGAACAGGTGTAAACAGCTCTCTAGTGCAGGGGTTTTCAAACTTTTTCAGCTGAGGGCCCCTTTGTGTAGGGCGAATTCTTTCGGGGACCCCCAAAAAATAAATATCACGCCACCCCCTCAAATTAACAACTGTATTTAATTTTTTTAAATTGTATTATTCAATACATTTATATTATAATATATTATTCAATACATTTATATTATTCACTATCTGGATTAATTTTTGTAAGATGTTAGTTGAGTTGACATGGTTTCAGTGCTTCAATCTATTGATCAAATCTTCATGCGCAGTGTTCATTGTGGTCTTCTCTCACTGGATTCCATCAAGCCATATTTTGTGTGAGTCATTGTGTTATGCCATTTTTATGCTTTTTTTCTGCCTTTGCACAGCTAGACTCTTCTGTATTTACCCTTACAGCTGAGACTAAATGTATCTAAAGATTTAAAGCTTTAAAGTTTTAAAGAGTTTTGTCATTCATCAGCCTGTTAACAGTTAACTGTACTGTTGTAACTAGCAATACTACAATGGAGGCTGTAGTGGTTCAGTGTGTTTTGTTTATTTTTATTCCTTTTTTTGTGCACATCATAATTTACTCAGGTCGACAATCCTGACTTACACTGATAAAAAATAATTTCCTAAATGCAATCTAGAATTGAGTATTCAAGTTCAAAAAGCCACAAATTTTACTTAGAAGCTTTGCTGACTTTAAAATGTCCATACCAGTGTGTTCTATTAATAATACTAAACATTACATTTAAATTATTTACACAAATAAATATGGGAAAAAGTGGAACATCTTGAAAAAAATGCATTTATATTCAGAGTATTAAAATTTGATCAGATATGTTCAGCTCCATTAAATACAGAGCACTAATACATTTTAATTTTTAATAATTAATTAGCCCTATAACTTAACACAAACAGATACATTATAATTTTTATAGGCTATAGTGGTTTTATTCAGGGTGTATACAATTGAGTTTTTTTTAATCATCCAGTTATGAACCAATGTGAGTAAGAGGTCCACTGCAGAGCTCATCCAGCTGTCATTAGTGTAACAGGGGTGAAACTCTGAGCACTTGCTGATGCGGGCCGCTGCGCTTCTTTTCCTGTTTCACGAAAGTGTCAACTGCATTTAAATGACATAAGCATAAAGCTTAATTTTTGCAGTACTTTTGAGCTCAAATTATTATAAAAAATATATTAACCTTCAGAATGATGCGGGACACAAAATTCAACCATGTGGGCCCATTGATTACCCCTTATCTAAAAAATTTTGCGGCCCCCCTAGCGCCATCTGGCGGCCCCCCAGTTTGAAAACCCCTGCTCTAGTGTACTATTACGTACCAAAGTAAATAGTAAGAGCCTTTTTAAAGTGAATTGTGTTTGTTTGATAGGCAGTAGCAGTTCTCACAGCAACGTATCCAGTGGGTCACATGCCCTATGGGTGGTTGACAGAACTACGTGCAGTGTATCCAGCTTTCGATATGGTAAGTGATGGGTTTCTCCTAAAATTTACCCTAAATAAAAAAAGAAAAAAATTTACCACCACCACAACCAAAAGAAAAAACCTGTTTACTTCTTCAAAAAAAACTTGGATTTTTATTTTTATTTTTTTTGCCTTAAGGTTCAGGAAATTTGTTTTGCTCAACACATGATGACTGGCATTCACTATAAAATGCCTCATCTTGCAGACCTGTAATTATGGACCATTTAAAGGCCTGCAACAGTCAGACTAAGATGTGCCTGATTCAACTTGTTTAGGTTTTGCCCTTTAGACCGATTACAGACATAACCAATATCAGATGTCTGTGTCTTAAGAGCCTTTAGGTTTTAATTGTGTGGTTGTGTTGGCATGTTTGAGTAAAGTATTGCTGAGAACTTGTTTTGTAACTTGAAAATTTGTTTTTGCCATCACTAGAACACAATGTTCTTCCTGTTGACCTGAAAGACAACACTTTGGTTTTAGCAAAGGTTTTGGTTTTGTGGTTTTAGATGTTTTGGATTGTTGATTATTATTATTATTATTATTAATTATAATTATTATTAATAATAATAATAATAATAATAATGTATTATATTGAATATTTTCAAATAATTCTTTCACAATATTATCTTTTTGTTTATTACATTAATAATTGTTGTTTTTGAGAATAACTAACATTTGATTAACTGTATTTCTTTTTTTAACAGAATAACCCGACCAATAAGTTGACCAGTGGTGTGATGGTCACCAAATCACATATCAAGAAGTTCACCCTTTGCTGTTTTATTCTCTCTTTAGCGGTAAGATATTTTAATAAACACCACAACTTTTTTAAATACTTTAATTTAGAAAGGATGTATTCAGTTGATCAGTTTGTGGCAGTTATGATGTTTGGTAAACATATTTTTAAAAGCACTTTGGTAAATAAACAGCATTCCTTGTGCATTTGTGTAAAATTTGCATATTATAATAATTTTCGAGCATTCAGAAGTAATGGCTGCTGATTATCAGTTATGCTATTAAAGGAATAGTTAACATTTTAAAGCAGTGATTTCCAACATTTTTTTGCCTGAGACCCCCTTTTCCCGTGGAAGACATTGTAAGCTCATATTATCACTCATAAGTTTGCAGTAAGGATGTCAAAATGTTGTTTTCAAACAAACTTTGTGTATTATTACTATATCTAGGCACGTTTATGCATATAATAGCCTAATGTAAATTATAAAAGCAAATCATCAGTAGCCCAATACTGATTTAATATTGTATTGGCCTATTTTGTGATTCAATGACAAAATTATCAGTATACACTCTGGTGTTTAAGGGAAAGATATAATATAGGCTGTTACAATTTAATACTTGCATGTTATTTGCTATGCTTTATTAATCAGTGTGAGGATTGCTACTGGCAGTGAGCAATAATTGGGTAAATAGCTGGAGAGATCTTTGTCAGGGCAAGATGCATTTCATCCTCAAGTCAAGCACAAAGCTGATCCCTCACATCATCCCTTCATCCTCTTCAAATAATTCCTTGACAAACTCTGTCGCATGTGGCAAAATAAAGTTTTCTGCAATTGTATGCCCTCTCTTTGGTTTGGCGATTACCATTACACTTTTAATATT